TCATGGTTTTCTAAACCACTTCCCCATCTGGTAACACAAAATAATGTTTATTCAAAAAGCACAGCTAAATTAAGTCATTTCCACTTACGTTTTAATCGTTTACAAGCCGCTCTCTGATTTCGGCAACAGACAAAAGCAATATTAGCAATCACAGAAATGACCAAGCAGGTTAATGTCACCCACAGCTGAGTGGAAGTAGGGTCTGCTGTTTCTTTAAGAGAGCAAAAACACAAATTTACAGACTTATTTTTGCACCATCAACAATAATCAGCACTTAAACTAAGAAAAGCATACCTGCTGCCACTTTGGTTCCATTTCCAAAGATTATCTGTCCACATGTGGCCACGGCGCAGTAATAAGTGCCAGGATCAGAGGTGGAGAAGTTCATAGATGACACACATCTGTTCCGAGATTTCTTCTCACATTGATTGTGTTGAGTTCCCTTACTGTAGACCATGTCTGGGTAAGATGTATCTGACTTGGCTCTGAACCAGAACACTCTGAGATCTTCTGAACACGTCTTCTTGTCTGAATCAGAGAAGACTGAACACTGGAGAGTCACTGGGTCTCCTGGGCGGTTCAGATCAGAGACTGTATGCTGGATGACAGTGGTGTGTGATCCCTTCTCAGAAGGTCCTAGACAATAACATACAAAAATGTCCAAAAGGTCATTAAAACCAACAGTTAAAGAAAGGCTTAGAAATGTTTGAACTTTTTTACAGGTGTGTTGCAACGAGCAAGAAAAAAACATGAACTAGAGAGGACTCATTATATTTGGTCTCTTTTTATCTAATATTTTGTTAAAACTTCTAGTGGCATTTCTGTGTTGTGTATAGAGTTTTAAGCGCTTCTACATTTAGTTTATAATTACTCCATGATTTTACTTCACTGGCTGCCTGAACATTTTAGAATATATTTATAAGTCACTTGCTTTATTTATTTGCTTTTGTTAATCAGCCTCGCCCAATATCCCTCTGAGTTGCATCATTTCCACCCACCTTTCTGATCTCCCAGATCAGCTGACCAACAGCTGAGCAATCCACAAACAAGCCACAAGCTCAAAGGGATTGGAGCCTTTGCAGCTACAGTGCTTTAGAATAAGCTGCTATGCTGTAGACCACTGCTGTTGTTGTTAATTTTTAAATTGGGTTTTAAAATCTGTCATGAAATTATTTGACCTGTCATAATTGTTGTCTCAAATCGAGACAATTCAAACATTTAAGATAAAAAAATAATAACAACTTCCACAAATGCGTACTTCAAAAGATCTAAAGCAGCTTAAATCAGTTTGTTGTTGTCTTGTGCACACCTTCTGGTACAGCCGTTACACGATGAGGAGTTGCACAAAAAATAACTGTTTGAACTGCTGCACATTGACAATGAAGACATTCTAATTTGTAGATGCAGAATTTTTGAGTATAGCTGCACATCAATACATGAATTGTCATGCAGAGTGACAATGTAATGTAAACCATTAAGGTTACCCTACAGTTGAATCTATTTAAGCAATGAAAGAAAGAAAACCAGTCAGTCATTTAGTGCTGAGCGTAAATCTAATTCCTGATCTATTTAGGTTCAAACTGGACTCTTAGTAAAATAAAATACTCACTAACAAGCTATTTTTCCACTACTGCAAGATAAATTATTCATGTAAATCTAATATTCAAACAAGGTTAACAGATTTCATACTTTTTTCATCTTCATATGCCTTCACGTAACTGATTAGATTTGTTATATAACGTGTTATTTATTAATTTATTTGTTTGTTGAGAAAAAAGTAATTTTCTTTGTGACATGACATTTGTATTTAACAAATCAAACGTTATTGTAGTAGAATATTTAATGCGAGGATTTCAAAACTAGAGCTGGAATTCGTATTACAAAATAAACCTAACAATTACATTACCTTTTATTGACAGATAGGTCCCGTTCCAGTAATTCTTATTCCAGTCAACGATAGAGCAGTGATACATTCCTTCATCTTCTTGAACGGTCTGTAAAATGGTCAGACTGTAAACGTTCTCTTCATATGTTGATTTCAGTCTGGAGGCACTGAATCCTGCTTCATAATTAGGTTTTCCATCTGTCAACTGCTTCACCATTAAAGTCAGAGTATTCCCAGTGCTCTGCTTGTACCAATGAAGGTCACTACTGCCCTTCTGTTCATCAGGCAGAGAACATGTCAAAGTCACAGCTTCACCAAGTCCAGCTGTGGTGACTCGAATCAAGGTGTCTAAAAAAGTGTGAGCGTTAATAAAAGTATTTCACAGATGTAATACAGAAGTAGTGTGGATTTTACTTACATCCCTGAGGAAGGAGGAGCAGCATAACCCACAGCAGAATCATCTTCACACATTTTTCATTGAACTGTGTCTTTATATTTCAGTGACAAAAGGAGGTGTGGTGATCTTGTTTACTGATTGGTTATCTGGAAATGTACCATCAAAGATCATTTCCTGTCACATTTTCTATTTCCATCCTTTTGTTGTTTAGCCCCTAAAACTCATGTTTTAATTTCACATAAATGAGGCTTTTTTCTTCAGAAAAAAGTATGTTTGTGATAAAAACATTTTGAAAAAAATAGGGAAATCCTTTAAAGGTGCCTTTCACTCTCTTAATCAATACATTTGCAGTGGTCTCTAGTAGTAATACAATGAATGTCTTGTAAAGTCCTGGTGCACCTGTTTCAGGATCTAAAAAATTGCCACGTCAGAGGACAGCTTCAGACGGCAGGATTCTAAGTCTTATTTCCTGATAGAAGCCTTGAAGAAGGTTGCATGCGAGCGAAATGTGTCTGCTTTTCCCTTTTTTTGTGTGCTCGTAATAAAAACATTTTTCAGAGTGCCTCGGATCACCTGTTTTTCTTCCCCATCCACATTCCATAACTTATTTCCTGATATTTGGTCATCTCACCTTTTATTGGCTAACAGCAGCAAGTTTCTACCACTGACTGCTGTTTTATCTCTACAAATAACACACGCCTGAAGGAGTTCTGTTATGTGGTGGAGTTGCTAATGCTTACGGATAGCTTCTACTAGCTGAGACCTTATCTGCTGTTTCCTGGAAGCTAAAACAACAACAGCTTTTCAGTGACAAGAGGAGGTGTGGGGATCTACTTTAATGATTGGTTATCTGGAAATGTACCATCAAAGACCATTTCCTGTCACATTTTCCATTTCCATCCTTTAGCTTTTATTACTGTAAAACTCATGCTCTAAATTTGATGACAAATTATTTCAGAAAAAAAAGTTTTATGAAAAATACTTTCAAAAAGGTGAAATGATTTATAGAATGGTGTGCGATTGAGCTTTGGACACATCAATAAGATACCAGAGACCAAGATGGGGACCGAGTAAAGAAAGATGCACCCTGGACAGCAGTGCTACCCGACCCCCTGGATTATGGACCAGCACCAGTCCCTGGAGGCAGGCAGCAGAGTGTGGAGGTGCATGGGTTGCCATCTTCATACATACGGGACCGGTGGTGCTGGTGTCTCTGTTTATTGCCAGAGCTTCAGGCTGAGAACGGTGTGATGCATTTGAGGAGCGGAGCCGTTCTATGAGCTGCGGGGGACGACTGTGTGCTCATCGCCTAGTGGACGAGAGGAGTGCACAGGGCTCAAGAGTCAAGGGAAACTGGCTGTGGGCCGTAGGACAAGACAGGGGCATCGTTGTGTTTGACACGGTCAGCTGGAGCCAACGGATGGGTTCTCTTGCTGACCACCGCCCTGGTCTTGGTGACATTAAGGACAATTTTTAGACAGTTTTTAGGTAACTTTATTAGGTTTTATCCTTTTGAACAAAAATACAGATATTCTGGGAGGTTATTGTTCAGATCATCATAATCACCTTGGTCCTCCAAATAAATTATTTTTTTAAGGTCAGTGGTTTTGTATGTTTTCCAGGGTGTCTGAATTGCTTGCTCCGCCTTGTGTTCAGAACAAAAGTTGGGACTGGCCACACAAGAAGGATGCAATTATTTATTGGGCTCTGGGCAGTGGCGGCTGGCCAGTAGAGGGCGATAGGGCGCCGCCCTCCCAGTTTCCCCAGTGTTTTTAATTTTTATTTTAAACAATAAATAAATAAAATTAACAATAATCACATATTCTAAGTTAATTGTGTGTTTTGTAACAAAAATAAATCATATATATATATATATATATATATATATATATATATATATATATATATATATATATATATATATATATATATATATATAGTGGTCTCTGTCGGTCTCTGCCAAGCGGTGGAGGCTGTGTGCTGTTCTTCAATCGCCCAAACAAGACGGGACCAGTTGTCCAATTGCTGACAAGAAAATCAAAGGGTAGGAATGGGAATGTATCCAATCAGCGTCGACGTTGTTTCAGAAGCATGATGGGCGATGGAGCTACCGCCAAGGCTTTCGTTGGTGTTCGGTAGAACTCGGAGAGTCTCGACTACTCCAGCACGTTTTTGGTCGTGACGCAGAGCCTACAACCAGGATACCGGATCTCAGCAGCCACTGAATTCAGTTCGGTTTCTTCTCCAGTATCCGTGCGAGAGGAGAACTATGGTGGAAAAACTTAATGTCAAAGAGCTTGGTCCTGATCAGCCCGAAGCAAAGATAAGCCAGCAGGACAAGGAGAAGGGTAAACTGTACACACGACGCTTCTCCCAAAACTGGTACACCAGGAAGCAGTGGCTAGCTGGATGCAATCACGCTAATGCGTTATTTTGCTTTCTGTGTTTGTTATTCAAAATGGCTGGGATCCACAGAAGGTGGATGTGGAACTTGTTTCTCATTGGGGACTCCACTCATTCTCTGACTGAGGAATGCAGCGCATCAGTGCAGCAGCCAACAAAGAAACGGAGGACGTTTGGACAGGGAGAACAGCAGCTGGGTGCAGAGGTAAGCTGTACATTACATTTCTGTAAACAAGACAATCAGAATCAGAAATCCTTGGTTGTCCCACAAACCGGGACATTTGTTTAATAACATGTACATTGTTTAATGTGCAATAACTGTAAAAACTAATTTCAACACACATACCTATTATACATATTTAATCATGTAAATGTGTATTTCAAGTAAATTTGTACATACATCAATCTGATTCCATTTTACTTGTTACACTTCTGCTGCAGCAAACAAATTTCCCAGCTTTTGGGACAATAAAACATTTCTGATTCTCAATTAGATGTTTTTACATTTGAAGTAAAAACATCTAATTGAGAACCAGAAAGTCCACTATCATCTCCTTTGTCTTTGTGACGTTGAGGGTGAGACTGTTGTCCTGACACCAGTGGGTCAGGGCGCTGATCTCCTCCCTGTAGGCCGTCTCATCGTCGTTGGTGATGAGACCTACCACTGTGGTGTCGTCCGCATACTTCACAATGATGTTGGAGTTTCTCGTGGCCGTGCAGTCGTAGGTGTAGAGTGAGTACAGGAGAGGGCTCAGCACACACCCCTGTGGTGCACCAGTGTTCAGTGTGACGGGGGATGAGGTGGTGCCGCCCAGTCTGACCACCTGGTGTCTGTCAGACAGAAAGTTAAGGATCCAGCTGCAGAGGGAGCTGCTCAGTCCTAGATCCTGCAGTTTCCTGTCCAGCTTCGAGGGAACGATGGTGTTGAATGCTGAGCTGTAATCGACAAACAGCATTCTCACATACGTGTCCCTCTTCTCCAGGTGTGACAGGGCAGCATGGAGTGTCAGAGCTATGGCATCATCAGTGGACCTGTTGTGGCGGTATGCAAACTGTAGAGGGTCCAGTGAATCGGGCAGTGCAGAGCAGATGAAGTCCCTGACCAACTTCTCGAAGCATTTGCTCACGATGGGGTTCAGGGCTACAGGTCGCCAGTCATTCAATGTGGAGATGGTGGATGATTTGGGTACAGGGACAATGGTGGCCATTTTGAAGCAGGCTGGGACTACAGACAGAGAGAGGGAAAAGTTGAAGATGTGTGTAAACACTCCAGCCAGCTGACCCGCGCATGACCTGAGGACGTGGCCGGGAATCCCGTCCGGACCAGTAGCTTTGCGTGCGTTCACCCTCCTGAAGCACCTTCGCACATCCTCTTCAGACACAGTGTGCGCACTGACGTCATCCGCGGTGCGCTCACTGTCCGGTCTCATGGAGTTCGCTGTGTCGAATCTGGCATAGAATGCGTTTAGATCCTCACACAGAGAGGTCGTGGTCTGCGGTGTGCTGGTTCTCCCTCTAAAGTCTGTGATTGTGTTTAGTCCCTGCCACATACTCCGGGGGTTGTCAAACTGTTGCTCCACCCTGTCTCTGTACTCACGTTTGACTGCTTTGATCGTCTTCCGGAGATGGTAATGTGCGTGTTTGTAGTCTGATCTGTTCGCGGAGGCAAAGGCGGTGCTCCGCGCCGCCAGCGCCGTTCGCACACCTCCATTAATCCAGGGTTTTTGATTCGGGAAGGATTTAACTGTTCTGGATGGGACAACATCTTCCACGCATTTCCTGATAAATCCGCAGACGAGTCTGTGTACTCATCAATGTCTGTAGCAGCTGCGTGAAACATTTCCCAGTCCGCCCGATCAAAACAATCCTGCAGCGCAGACTCCGATTGGTCCGACCAACGATGCACCGCCCTCAGGGTTGGAGCTTCCCGTTTCAGCTTCTGTCTGTAGGCAGGTATTAGCAGGATGGAGCGGTGATCTGACTGGCCGAATGGGGCGCGTGGGAGGGCTTTGTACGCATCTCAGAAAGAGGTGTAGCAGTGGTCGAGTAGCCGGTCTCCACGTGTATTGAAATGGATGTGTTGGTGTAGTTTTGGTGAGACTTTCTTCAGGTTACCCTTATTAAAGTCCCCGATCGTAATAAACGCCGCCTCTGGGTGGACGGTTTCCTCATTGCTGATCGTGCTGTACAGTTCTCTGAGTGCTCGGTCAGTGTCGGCTTGTGGGGGAATGTAAACAGCCGTCATAATCACCGCTGTGAATTCTCTCGGTAGCCAGAATGGCCGGCACTTAATCATCAGGTACTCCAGGTCCGGAGAGGAGAAGGATTTGACCGGGTGCACGTTCGCATAATCACACCAGCTGTTGTTGATCATGAAACACACACCACCACCTCTGCTTGCACCATCCTGGTGCAGCAGGATGATGCACCATGTCATAAAGCTTGAATCATTTCAAATTGGTTTCTTAAACATGACAATGAGTTTACTGTACTACAATGGTCCCCACAGTCTCCAGATCTCAACCCGATAGAGCATCTTTGGAATGGGGTGGAACGGGAGCTTCCTGCCCTGGATGTGCATCCCACACATCTCCATCAACTGCAAGATGCTATCCTATCAATATGGGCCAACTTTTCTAAAGAAGGCTTTAAGCCTGGGGTCGGAGGGAAACAAGCCAGAGAACATAGGTACACCAGCACAACTGAGGGAACACACAGGGGGACACCACGCCAGAAGCCTTAAGCCCAGGTCACCAGGAGTGTCCCTGATGTGTCTCAAGTCAGAGACAAGGCCACCCTGGTAACATGGGACCTGCCCTTAATGTGATAGTCAAAGATATACAATACCCCCAGGCATCAGCCTCAAGCCCACTGCACAACTGTACTGACTAGGGCCCTAAGACCACATTCTAACAAACAGGGTAATTCCCCCACCCCCTGTCCCTGACAACAACCCCAGAGCCCAATATATAATTGCATCCTTCTTGTGTGGCCAGTCCCAACTTTTGTTCTGTACACAAGGCGGAGCAAGCAATTGAGACACCCTGGAAAACATACAAAACCCTTATGATAATCTGAACAATAAAAACATAATCATGTTTTAAAAAACCTCCCAGAATATCTGTATTTTTGTTCAAAAGGATAAAACCTAATAAAGTTACCTAAAAACTGTCTAAAAATTGTCCTTAATGTCACCAAGACCAGGGTGGTGGTCAGCAAGAGAACCCACCCGTTGGCTCCAGCTGACCGTGTCAAACACAACGATGCCCCTGTCTTGTCCTACGGCCCACAGCCAGTTTCCCTTGACTCTTGAGCCCTGTGCACTCCTCTCGTCCACTAGGCGATGAGCACACAGTCGTCCCCCGCAGCTCATAGAACGGCGCCGCTCCTCAAATGCATCACACCTTTCTCTGGCAGTAAACAGAGACACCAGCACCACCGGCCCCGTATGTGTGAAGATGGCAACCCATGCACCTCCACACTCTGCTGCCTGCCTCCAGGGACTGGTGCTGGTCCATAATCCAGGGGGTCGGGTAGCACTGCTGTCCAGGGTGCATCTTTCTTTTACTCGGTCCCCATCTTGGTCTCTGGTATCTTATTGATGTGTCCAAAGCTCAATCGCACACCATTCTATAAATCATTTAACCTTTTTGAAAATATTTTTCATAAAACTTTTTTTCTGAAATAATTTGTCATCAAATTTAGAGCATGAGTTTTACAGTAATAAAAGCTAAAGGATGGAAATGGAAAATGTGATAGGAAATGGTCTTTGATGGTACATTTCCAGATAACCAATCATTAAAGTAGATCCCCACACCTCCTCTTGTCACTGAAAAGCTGTTGTTGTTTTAGCTTCCAGGAAACAGCAGATAAGGTCTCAGCTAGTAGAAGCTATCCGTAAGCATTAGCAACTCCACCACATAACAGAACTCCTTCAGGCGTGTGTTATTTGTAGAGATAAAACAGCAGTCAGTGGTAGAAACTTGCTGCTGTTAGCCAATAAAAGGTGAGATGACCAAATATCAGGAAATAAGTTATGGAATGTGGATGGGGAAGAAAAACAGGTGATCCGAGGCACTCTGAAAAATGTTTTTATTACGAGCACACAAAAAAGGGAAAAGCAGACACATTTCGCTCGCATGCAACCTTCTTCAAGGCTTCTATCAGGAAATAAGACTTAGAATCCTGCCGTCTGAAGCTGTCCTCTGACGTGGCAATTTTTTAGATCCTGAAACAGGTGCACCAGGACTTTACAAGACATTCATTGTATTACTACTAGAGACCACTGCAAATGTATTGATTAAGAGAGTGAAAGGCACCTTTAAAGGATTTCCCTATTTTTTTCAAAATGTTTTTATCACAAACATACTTTTTTCTGAAGAAAAAAGCCTCATTTATGTGAAATTAAAACATGAGTTTTAGGGGCTAAACAACAAAAGGATGGAAATAGAAAATGTGACAGGAAATGATCTTTGATGGTACATTTCCAGATAACCAATCAGTAAACAAGATCACCACACCTCCTTTTGTCACTGAAATATAAAGACACAGTTCAATGTAAAATGTGTGATGATGATTCTGCTGTGGGTTATGCTGCTCCTCCTTCCTCAGGGATGTAAGTAAAATCCACACTACTTCTGTATTACATCTGTGAAATACTTTTATTAACGCTCACACTTTTTTAGACACCTTGATTCGAGTCACCACAGCTGGACTTGGTGAAGCTGTGACTTTGACATGTTCTCTGCCTGATGAACAGAAGGGCAGTAGTGACCTTCATTGGTACAAGCAGAGCACTGGGAATACTCTGACTTTAATGGTGAAGCAGTTGACAGATGGAAAACCTAATTATGAAGCAGGATTCAGTGCCTCCAGACTGAAATCAACATATGAAGAGAACGTTTACAGTCTGACCATTTTACAGACCGTTCAAGAAGATGAAGGAATGTATCACTGCTCTATCGTTGACTGGAATAAGAATTACTGGAACGGGACCTATCTGTCAATAAAAGGTAATGTAATTGTTAGATTTATTTTGTAATACGAATTCCAGCTCTAGTTTTGAAATCCTCGCATTAAATATTCTACTACAATAACGTTTGATTTGTTAAATACAAATGTCATGTCACAAAGAAAATTACTTTTTTCTCAACAAACAAATAAATTAATAAATAACACGTTATATAACAAATCTAATCAGTTACGTGAAGGCATATGAAGATGAAAAAAGTATGAAATCTGTTAACCTTGTTTGAATATTAGATTTACATGAATAATTTATCTTGCAGTAGTGGAAAAATAGCTTGTTAGTGAGTATTTTATTTTACTAAGAGTCCAGTTTGAAACTAAATAAATCAGGAATTAGATTTACGCTCAGCACTAAATGACTGACTGGTTTTCTTTCTTTCATTGCTTAAATAGATTCAACTGTAGGGTAACCTTAATGGTTTACATTACATTGTCACTCTGCATGACAATTCATGTATTGATGTGCAGCTATACACAAAAATTCTGCATCTACAAATTAGAATGTCTTCATTGTCAATGTGCAGCAGTTCAAACAGTTATTTTTTGTGCAACTCCTCATCGTGTAACGGCTGTACCAGAAGGTGTGCACAAGACAACAACAAACTGATTTTGAAGTACGCATTTGTGGAAGTTACTATTATTTTTTATCTTAATTGTTTGAATTGTCTCGATTTGAGACAACAATTATGACAGGTCAAACAATTTCATGGCAAAGAAAAGTGATGGATTTTAAAACCCAATTTAAAAACTAACAGCGATTCCCAAACCTATTTAGCCGCGCACCCCCTTCTATGTCCCGACCTTGTCGATGCACCCCCCAGCCCCACATCAGGGCATGGCTATATATATATATATATATATATATATATATATATATATATATATATATATATATATATATATATATATATGTATATATATGTATATATATATATATATATATATATATATATCCCTATAGCCAGGTATATACAAATATATATATCAGACGTCACGCTAAACAGTCACTCGACAGACAGGGTTAAGAAAATATGATCGACCTTTTTCCCCATCACTTTCATTTTTATGTTTATGTATTATGTATTTTTGAAGTAGTAATTAATAAACATTCAATACCATTACAGTTTCCTTTGATTTAATGTTAAATCAATATTTAGAGTGCCCAGGTAGCACATAAACAATGCAATTTAACAGTTTTCTTAAAGCAGGAACGTTTAACCAGAGCTTTCTCCTTCCTTCTGCTCTGCGTAAACCTGAACTGGCCACCTACTTTTGCGTAATCAAATGCCTATAGGGGAAAAGATGGAAAAGCGGCAGCTCGCGCACCCCCAGGGGCATAGCAGCTTATTCTAAAACGCTGTAGCTGCAAAGGCTGCAATCCCTTTGAGCTTGTGGTTTGTTTGTGGATTGCTCAGCTGCTGGTCAGCTGATCTGGGAGATCAGAAAGGTGGGTGGAAATGATGCAACTCAGAGGGATATTGGGCGAGGCTGATTAACAAAAGCAAATAAATAAAGCAAGTGACTTATAAATATATTCTAAAATGTTCAGGCAGCCAGTGAAGTAAAATCATGGAGTAAATATAAACTAAATGTAGAAGTGCTTAAAACTCTATACATAACACAGAAATGCCACTAGAAGTTTTAACAAAATATTAGATAAAAAGAGACCAAATATAATGAGTCCTCTCTAGTTCATGTTTTTTCTTGCTCGTTGCAACACACCTGTAAAAAAGTTCAAACATTTCTAAGCCTTTCTTTAACTGTTGGTTTTAATGACCTTTTGGACATTTTTGTATGTTATTGTCTAGGACCTTCTGAGAAGGGATCACACACCACTGTCATCCAGCATACAGTCTCTGATCTGAACCGCCCAGGAGACCCAGTGACTCTCCAGTGTTCAGTCTTCTCTGATTCAGACAAGAAGACGTGTTCAGAAGATCTCAGAGTGTTCTGGTTCAGAGCCAAGTCAGATACATCTTACCCAGACATGATCTACAGTAAGGGAACTCACCCCAATCAATGTGAGAAGAAATCTCAGAACAGATGTGTGTCATCTATGAACTTCTCCACCTCTGATCCTGCTACTTATTACTGCGCCGTGGCCACATGTGGACAGATCATATTTGGGAATGGAACCAAAGTGGATCTCCAAGGTGAGCTGAAGTACCCTGAAACCAAACCAATTATAATAAATAAATAAATAAATAAATAAATAAATAAATAAATAAATAAATAAATAAATAAATAAATAAATAAATAATCTCTAACTCCCATTTTGTTTGTTTTTGTTTTAGGATCTCAGATTGAAGCAACAACCATTGCTCTGTGTGCTGTCTTGGCTGTAAGTTTGATCGTAATAGCCGTCCTTATCTGGTCCTTCAGCAAAAATAAATGTGTTCACTGTAAAGGTAAAAATGATACTCACAAAGTTTCTTTTTAAAAAGCCTGAAACCTTTTTGATTATCTTATAATTCATTGAAATCCCAGCTGTTGCTGAGCTGAAACACAGGGATAATCAGAAGAGTCAAAAGGTGAAGTATACATTCAGCAAATCTAAACGTAATCTTCCAACATTTAATGTTAATATCATGTTGTTATCCAAGAGAGCTGGATGGATTTACTCTGCTGCCATCTTCTCTTTAATAAGAGATGACAGCACAAGAATAAAATGAGCAACGGAGGAAAAGAAGATCTACGCTGCTGTGAAGGCTTTTGGATTTGAATAAAGTTGGTGTCATTTCTGAATTCAGCAATACCTTTTTAGAATAATATCCTGTTATAATGTTGATGTAACTCAGTTACTGTTTAATGACAAATTATGTTTTTAATCCCGTATCTCACTGGGGTGCGTCTGCTGAAAACTAGTTGGAGATACAAATAAATAAATAAATAAATAAATAAATAAATAAAATATATATATATATATATTCATCTGAAATCTCACTGAAATTGGTACTTACAGTAATCTCTTCAATGTGAGCTTGACTTTTTAAAGTTTGACCTAAAGCTTTGTCTCCTTATGTCTACTCATTTTGTTATATTTCTTCTTTCTGTATCAAAACTCTAAATAGGTACCTAAATTTGTACAAAATTGTTTGCATTTCTTTGTCCGTCATTTGTATTATTGTTAATTCAAGAAATTTTCTTTCTTTGCAAAATAAACTCATGCAAATCCATTGATCTGCTTCACTTTTTGTAAAACTCAAACAACATGAATAGATTCACACCGGTTTAATCTGATGTAATTAATAATTCTGCTGAAGTTAAGAAATTTGAAGCAATCGTGCAGTTTGGACAAAGGTAATAAGTACATTGCTCATTCAAATATCATCTACTATACATTAGAGGGGTTTTGAGTTTTAGATTCCACTCAGGGTTTTGTCATGGGGCTAACAACAGGTATCATCTTAAATGTATGTAGGTCTTGGGATAAAGGCATGATATGCAACTTTTTCAAAGTTTTAAATAATTTTCTTAAGCCAGTATGTGCTAAAACGACCCTTCACATGGTAATGAAATGTCACTCAGACAACCACTTCCCTCTGTGGCCAGAATATTGCCCTTCAGAGTGCCGATCCAGTCCCTGTTGGACGAAGTAAAAGTGGAGCTGACATGCCTGGCACTGGGATCTGCTTCCAGCACATTGCCTACATGTTTTAGATCACGTGTCAGAAGCAAGGCCCACGGGCCAGATGTAACCCACTGGTCGAATTTACTGCAATGACTACAACTCCCATGATGCTTTGCGGCGTTAGCGCAGAGCCGAAGTGCCCCCTCCGTTGTGTTTTTTCCAGCGCCTGCTGCCGGTGTTTGTTTTCTGTGTACCATCAGATCGCTACACCTGCCGACTCCTCCCAGAACGTCATCATCACTGCCATCCAATACATCCATGCATGCAGTGTTTGATGCCTCTGCTGAACTGACCACCGGCATCTTAAAATTCATATAACTCTGCCTTATTATGTTAACTGCCATTGACAACTAAAGTTGTCATTTGCTTTTTTTACTGTGTGGACGTGGGAACAAGCCCCCGCACCGTGAGAACAATCATCCCAGCTCTAAAGCTGATCTTCATCCGCGTACGTCACACGTCACATGATCAGGAAGCAGAAAATCCATGTGTTAGGAGATCATTTTAGGCCGTTGCTGTAAAAAAACTGAGGTGTGAACTGCACACTGCTGCTAACCACTAATACATTCTCTCTCTCCTGATAATAACTTTTTGTTTACATTGAATTTTGATGTGCTAATTCTAGTTTATCCGTTTAATTATAGATCCACTAGGATAAATACAATAAAGTTTATCTTTCACCAAATACAATATTTACTAAGACATCACAATAGAACTATGGACACATTACTTGTCTGTGTGTGTGTGTGTGTGTGTGTGTGTGTGTGTGTGTGTGCGTGCGTGCGTGCGTGCGTGCGTGCGTGTGTGTGTGTGTGTGTGTGTGTGTGTGTGTGTGTGTGTGTGTGTGTGTGTGTGTGTGTGCTCTGTCTTCTCGATCCCCAGTGAGTCGTAGAGGATGGCTGCTTATACTGAGCCAGGATTCTCTGGAGGTTTCTTCCTGTTAAAAGGGAGTTTTCCTCTCCACTGTCGCTTTATGCTTGCTTAGTATGAGGATTGCTGTAAAGTCACTGACACTAGTCAGTGACTTGATGCAATTTGCTGGGTTCCTTATATAGGAAACATTATTTCTGATTGGCTTAATGAACTGACCTGAATTGGAATTTTTATTATGTGAAGTGCCTTGAGACGGCTCTTGTCGTGATTTGGCGCTACATAAATAAACTTGAATTGAATTGAATTGAATTGAACTCGAAAAGCTTCTGCCGATCACAATTCGACAACGGATTATGAAAGAACGGCTAAAGCTCGAAACACGCGGATTTTTCCTGATGTAAGAGGTGAGTCTCCTCTTTGTTTTGGTAGCTTTGGCGTTGACATCATCATAGAGCGCAACATTCTGTGACTCTTAAAAAAAACTGAACACACAGAAAAACGCTGGCAGCAAAGGGCTTTTCTGATCAGGAAACTTACCTCACTTTCAGTCCACTCTGCTCCGGACCTCTCGTCTCCATATTTTTTCCCCTGTTGAGAACATACAGCCTGGCACCCTCTGCTGTTACGGGCATGTAATGGTTAGACCCTGATTATAAGACGACCCCACCTTTTAAAATGATTTTCAATGACAACAACTTTGTCTTTGTTCAATATGGTATTTTTATCAAAATTAACACTGCTGTTTGCTCTAAAATATTTTATGCAACTCTTCTTTGTATCACGGACGGATGTATCACAACTACCTCCAGAACACAGTTTACTGTCTTTGTGATCCTCCTGCAGAAGGCCCTAAAAGAGGCTGTGTCATCATTTTTGATGTAAACTTTCTAGATGATGAATTAGATCAGTTATTTAACTTTTAAACAAATCAAATAGTTTGAATGAATTTTAATTTAGGCATGAACATTTGATTTGAGTCATTGTGCAGGGTGGAAAAAGGCTTTTGGGCCTTGAGAAAAAAAGCTAAAATTTCCAAGCTAACCGCTGACAGAACATAGAAACACTAATAACACACCCAGCATCTTATGCTAAGCTTTCCAAAGTAAGCTGTGAAGTGTGAGCTATCAGTTTGTTGGAACAAACATTTATAATATGAGTCATGATTAGTTCTCACCAGACTAGGGTTGTCACGGTAACCGGTATAGCGGTAAACCCCGGTAAAAAAGTTGACAATAGAAATAACCGTCCAGTTTTTAAAAAACTAAATTATCTCAGTGGGTTTACCGTGGCCGCGGTTTCAGCGCGGTGACCCTTACCAGCCACCGTCGCTTCAGCTGAAATTCCCGCGGCGCGCACACGCACTTTTTAGTTTGCAACGGCACCAAAACTTTGAAGCTGAAATAATGGCCGAAGGAGGAGACGGCAGCGCCCAGGACATCCATCAGCCCTCAAAGAAGACTAACTCGGAAGTATGGGCATATTTTGGATTTCTGAAAAATGCTGAGGGACAGTTAATAGAAGACGGCTATCCCGTTTGCAGAACGTGCAGGAAACAAGTGTCTACAAAAGGCAGAAACACTTCGAAACTAATGGCACATCTGCGTGACCATCACCCACGTCCCTACAGCCAGTGCAAGGTAAGTTAACATTAGCATTTTAGCTTAAATGCATGACGTGAGGACTTTTGGTTGAGGGAGAATGCAACGAGTCACTATATACTGCAGCCGCAGCGTCCTCTGCCAGCATTTAAACCGTGTCACGGACACCCTGTTGCTGGATGAAGCATCTTATTTGTTGATGATGAAGAGAAATATACAATTAGTTCCTTGTCATTGATTTGTTTACTTATTCAATGCCATTTATACTTGAACATTTGGATTTGATTACATAGTGTAGTAGTTATTTTAGTAATTTGTTTAAAGTGGCTATTTATTTTAAATACATATTTTTTAAGGTTGACTTGTACAGTGCTCAAGTCAAGTGTGGACTGGAGTTTTAGATTTTCATTTTGATAATGAAGAAAACAAGTATATGAGAAAACAAGTGGTGTTTCTTTGATTTGTTTACATATTGTTTATGTTTTGAATGTTTGGATTTGTATAATTTAAACCTGCACTGACTACTGTAACACGTTCCAGAAAAAGAAGCTATTTGTTCCTTTACTTGTGAAAAGTTGCACTTTTGCTAAGGCTTTGTGTTATTTTAGGTTTAATAAACACTGTTAAACCTTTTCAAAACTATTTCAGTTTGTGTAGAACAGGACTATCAATGCTTTCTGAACATATGCAACACCGTTTAAAAAATACCGCGATAATACCGAAAACCGTGATAATTTTGGTCACAATAACCGTGAGGTTAAATTTTCATACCGTGACAACCCTACACCAGACTGATGAGCAACAGACAAGTCTGAATGGTGCCACTCACTAATGTTGTTCTGATTGTCTTTGGACAAGACCAGTCTCATATTGGCTGTAGCATCATCCAAACATTATTTTATAAAATAAGAGTACGATCTAATTCAGACTACTTGGTTATTTCAATAGGATTATGTGGTTTACAGCGTTAGAAACCATTTGATGGGCTAGTTACTTTTGCACTTGTTGATTGGTAAATGACCTGTATTTATATAGCACCTTCTAGGATTCTACAATCCCCAATGTGCTTTGCAACACAACCAGTCATTCCTCCATTCACACACACACACACACACACACACTGGCTGTGCAGTCCCAGCTGCCCTGGAGCACACTAACTGAGGCGGGGCAGCCAAACACAGGTGCCACTGGTCCCTCTGACTACCATCAGCATCCAAGGCAGGTAAAGTGTCCTGCCCAAGGGTACAATAATTGCAACAGACTCAGCAGGTCTCAAACCTGCAACCCTCTGACTATGTGGTGGGTGAAGATGCTGTCATGGCATGTTGGGTATCTCACACTGCCTACTGGTCCTATGTTGCCAGGGTGAATTGTCTGGCCTGCAACAGGGGCACGTGATGTGCTGGGCATCTGGCTTGGCATGCCTCAGTTGGTTCCCTCTGACTTGGAACTGGTGTCCCAATATCTTGTTCCCTTCTGTCCCAGTTTGTGGCCATTTCCTGGTCTTTGCTGTTCATCCTCTAGGACTCCCAGCTACCTTGACTTATGTGACTCCCTTGCCCTGATGCAAGAGTTGCCTGGATTGTGGAGAGACAGGCATCTCCTCCTGCATCTGTCCCAACCCAACTTGATATGTTGTTATGACAACAGAGACACATTGCTTCCAGTTTGCAAAAAGTGAATTAGATTATTTAAACGATCTAACATGAGCCAAGACAAAATACAAATACAACAAAGGAATCTGAAAAACCATTTGACTGCCTGCTATGCCTGAGCCAGGAGAACCAGTGAGTGTGAGGAGATGCCAAGCTGGGAATACTGAGTCCAAGTTATCCCAGTAAGCAGCTGATAGACCACACCCACTGTCTGAAGACAACAGAGTAAATATCAACATGAGCAAACACAAGAACAAATGACAGAAGTCATCACACATCTTATACACCTGATTCAAGAACCATTCAACCCTCACAGGAAAACACCAAACATTAAAAACACTTAGACTCTTAAATAGGTACATGAAGACACAGCTTGTTATTTATTCTTTTTTATTTTGCCTTGTTAGTTTGTTTCTGGCTACCTCACACCTCACTGTGGCTATGTTCTACTTTCTCTCTCTCTCTCTCTCTCTCTCTCTCTCTCTCTCTCTCTCTCTCTCTCTCTCTCTCTCTCTCTCTCTCCCTCTACCTCCGCTGATTTTTCTTAGTTTGTTTCTTATTTCTCTGCCAGGTCTACTCTGTTGCATAAGGAGATGCTTTCTACACATCCACAATAAAGTCAACTGCTCTAATATAGTATGGCATCCAGACTAACCATTCTCTGTTTTAACTGTCAGGACAGAACAAAATACAACCAAAAACAGTGACAGGAAATGCACTTCGATTGTAAAATTTGAAACAACCAATCAAACATCAGATGCTCAGGACCACCACACTCCTTCTTCTGTTACTAAAAATCATCAAGAGGTTTAACGTAGACGGAACAAAGATGATCCTCCTCTGGGTGACACTGCTGCTCCTCCATCAAGGATGTAAGTTTATTCTATAGCAATTATGCATTCTCATTTGTGACTGTTGTATTTTTGTTTAACATTTAATATTTTCCATCCAATGCAGATGCGTTAGTTCCAGTGGTCACAGTTCAGCTTGGTGAACCTGCAACATTTACATGTGATTTACCTGAAAATAGACACAGAAGAAGCAAACTCTACTGGTACAAGCAGAATGCTGGAGATACTCTGAACTTAATTGTGTTTGTTAAGAACTTTGCAGAACCCGTATATGGACCAGACTTCAATTCATCAAAACCATCTTTGATATTTAATGATACAATCAGCACCCTAACCATCCTAAAAACAACTGAAAAGGATGAAGGAATGTATCACTGTGTTTTCATTGGCTGGAAATCAGATACTTGGTATGGCACTTATTTATCAATAAAAGGTGAGACAAAATATATTTAACTTTTTAGTAAGTACTTGAAATGAACAATTTTTCCTTTTGATTCTTCTTTATGCCATATAATGTTTTAGTAAATATGTGATTGTTTCCATGACTCATTTATTTATGTTTATTTCATTCGGTTTTTATATTATCTAAATCACAATTTATAACACTGCTTTTTTAAATAGGAAACAATAAAAAGACATCAAACTTGACTGTTGTTCAGCAACCAACACGATCCGATCAACTTCATCATGGAGGCTCAGTGAGTCTTCAGTGTTCACTTCTTACTGATGCCCCAAACAAGACGTGTTCAGAAGATCTCAGAGTATTCTGGTTCAGATCCAGATCAAACAAGTCCTATCCTGATGTGATCTACATGAATGGAAAAAGACATGATGGATGTGAGAAGAAACCTGACTCTGTGAATAGATGTGTGTTCTCCAGAAACACCTCCTCCTCTGATCCTGGGACTTATTACTGCGCCGTGGCCACATGTGGACTGATCATATTTGGGAATGGAACTAAGGTGGACCTCCAAGGTGAGCTGAATTAACCAAATAAATAAATAAATAGACGGATTGGTGCTGCGTATGCAGTGATGTGGACAGATCATATTTGGGAATGGAATCAAAGTGGAAAATGGTATGACTGCATGCAGTAGTGGAAAATATACTGATAATGGTACTACTTGTTTAGCTGTGAAAACATGAATGAATATTCCGTTCTACTTTTGTCTTTGTTTTATAGATCAAACAGCAGGTCCTAAATACATTGCTCTGGTGATAGCATGTATCTGCTTGGTCCTTTCTGTGATTGTTAATATCATTTTCTTTTGTTACCGAACACCAAGAGCAGGTAAGTGTTCTTCAGGGACTTTTGGTTGGATATTGTTTTTGAGAGTTAGCAATCAAGTGGTTCAGGCTCTAGCTACTGAGACAAATAACCACTGATCCATTTGCTAGTGTGTGTGTGTGTGTGTGTGTGTGTGTGTGTGTGTGTGTGTGTGTGTGTGTGTGTGTGTGTGTGTGTGTGTGTGTGTGTGTGTGTGTGTGTGTGTCCGTCCGTCCAAGGACTTCGGAACAGCTACGTCTGTGAATATGATGCGATGAGCATGTGTGTTAACAGCGTTCTCTAACTCAGTGTTTCCCGATCCCAGTCCTCAAGGTACACTGTCCTGTAGGTTTTCCATGTTGCCCTTTTAAACACCATTGTTTACCTGCTGCCACACACTTGACTTGAGTGAGTGATTAACAGTCATCTAAAGCACTTGGTGTCCTCCTGAAGAGGAAATTTAAATCAGGTGAAGAAATCAGGTGAAGCAGAGACATGGAAAGCATGCAAGTCAGTGTGCCCTGAGAACCAGGGTATGGAAACACTGATCTAAGTCAGTATAAACTTTAAAAAAGTTTTCTGTGGTTTCTGGAAATTTCTTTATATATATATATAATCACAGCTGAAACGCTATTGCAATGCTCTTATTTTATTAGTTCTAATTTATATATATATATAATTTTTTTATATTTTTTTTTCTGGAAAAAAGTTGTTCTTTTGCAATGTCATATTCAGTGTGCAACAAGGCATTTGGTAAATCAGCAGTGGACTTTCACAGATAGGTAATGTTTCATAAATTATATTCTTGTTTTTTCATTTCTAGGATTAGAAAGAGAATCTTCACAAGTAAAACACCCAGAAGATTTTACCGTGAGTAAAGATTTTATTAAATTCCAAAGGATTTATAAAATTTTGCATAATACTGTATGCATTTTTTATTTTCTGTACAGACTGAAGATAGACCAGAGCTGAACTATGCTGCATTAAATTTCTCTAAAGGAGACACCACACGAGGAAATAAGAGAGGGTTGAGGACTCAAGAGTGTGTCTACTCCCAAGCTAAACTCTGAATACATCAGTTTTATCATAACAACCACTGACATGAGACTGAATGCTTTAGTTTAGCTTTAATCCTAACAAGCATTTATAAGAAAAATGTCTACAATAAACATGTGCAATGGTCAGATCATGACATTACAACTTTTATGTGCATTTTTGTAACCACGCTTTTAGAAAACTGTGACCAACAGGTTGAGAGATAATTACTGATTATAATAGGAAAATTACATTAAAAAGATTATAAAATGAAATGTTCGTGTGGCTTGCCTAGACATGACAGCTGCCACCTAAGACGTTTACACATTCTCCATTTTCTTTTTAATGTTTAATGTGTCTTTTTTTTAATCAGCCTCTATAAACATGTTTTTTGTGTTAAACATGGTAAAATGAATATGTGTGTCTGAGTACCATTGTGTTTAAATAAAATATATATTTCTCAATTTTATAATTGTAATTACCAACACACACTTTATTTTAAATAATTATATTTTTGGAAGCTATACTGACCAGTTATTAACAACGAAACACTCAGCACAACAAAGTAATCTAAGACAACAAATAATTAATTTGAACTATAATTCCAAAAAGACAATTGTGGTAAAATAAAATCCAGCAGGAGGAATACAACACATTACATCATAAGATTTATATAGCAATGGCATTACACATGCACATGTATCTGATTAATTGTAAGAATCCACTGCATTATCTACAAAGCATTTCGTCTTCAGTTTTCTACATTTAATTATTTTACATGATGGTGAGTCAACACGACACAAGTGGGTGTATCTGTGTCACGGGGGAGTTCGGCAGTAACCCAATCGCAAGAATAATAGTCCTTAACCAGAGTTCAAAAGTGTTTTAATAACAAAACTTCCTCCACTGACTGTGGGAACCAAAAACAAAAACCAAAGTTGATCCATAAACAAACAACTAGTAAAGACAACTCCACACTGAGGACTGGCAGCAGTGGCCTGAAATAGGGTGAGGGCAGTCAAGGTAATGTGGCTCAGCTGCAGCGCTCCAGGAGGTTCACAGGGAAGGGGAGAGCTCCTGAGAGGAGCTGCAGCTGACCTGAACAAAACAACAGAGAAGAGGGTTAAACAAACACAAAAAGGGGCCAATCATAACAATGTGGGCTTATTTAATGATTCTTTAGAGCGATCGTGAGTTAGCAGTTAGGTGTTTTCCTTGTAATCTGTGGGTTGCTGGATTGATCCAGATTTGTCAATTAATGCGTCACTGGACAAAACACTTTAACCTGCTTGTCATCCAGGAACACCGATTGTGTGGCAGCATTGCAGCTCTCTATGTGCTTCAGGGTAGCTTTGGCTGCAATGCAGCTCATCACCATCAGTGTGTGAATGATCACACTATTAAGCACTTAGGAGTCTTTCTTAGAAAAGCTCTGTGCAAATGTGTAATATTATTATTTTTCTTGAAGTCACAGTGAAAACACACCGAAGCTACTCGTTGAAAGTAGAATTACAACTGTCATAAAGTACCCTGCCACAGCCTGTTGAAGCTAATTCTAACAACAAGCGGATGCTAACACAAGCCAATCAATACTGAATAAGCCACAAAGTAAAATGATCTACACTGTTGGACAAAAATACTATTACTATTATTACCAAGTTGAGTAGCAACAAAACCAGGTCACAATCAGTCTGTGATTTCCTTCAGCTTCCTCAAACAGGCACAGGCTGCATTAGTGTTTACTCTGGTGTTAGCTCTTTGCTTCACCTCCAAAGACATTACTCTCTTACATTTACTCCTAGGCTCCACCACGATGCCAATAAAAATAGCAACTTCTTCTTCTCATTCTAAATACATAGGGCACATAAAACAATGGTGTCACATGTTATTAAATGCTTAATCTTATTGAGACTCAGCATTCCAAACAACTTACATTAAGGAGGAAAGAAATGGGAATTTACATACAGTTTTATATAGAATGCTTTGACTAGAAATAAAATTGCCAATAAAATACATCAAATACATTAATTTGGACCTAAACTGTGAAATATTCAGTTAACAATTAAGTGATGTCATCGTTTTACGTGCCCTTTGTATTTATATTGTATTTAGATGATTCTCCAAAACCAACAACACTCACAAGGTGATAGTGAGGAACCTCCAGTCTCTGTCTGTAATGGAGGCACAAGGTTTTCAGCAGTTTGTGAAGGCACGTGACCCAAAATATAAACTTTAATATTTTATGTTTATGTTTGTGTATTTAGTAGACGCTATTGTCCAAAGTGACTTGCAAGTAATAATGAAGCCAGCAGGTTGCCCTTTAGGCTAACAACAAACACTGATCAATCAGTCCTGGCAGTGAGGTAGCATGATCAATCATAGAGGGAAATGAACAAGGAGTGGACAGTAGAGTAGGGGATGGGTGCTGGGAGGGTGATAGTTTAGAAGATGATCTCTGAAGAGCTGGGTCTTCAGGAGTTTCTTGAAAATCAACAAGGAAGCCCCTGTTCTGGTAGTGCTTGGTAGGTCATTCCACATCTGTGGAACGACACATGAAAAGAGTCTGGATTGTCCTAAACATGGTGTAGGCGCAGCTAGGTGACAATCTTTTGATGACCGGAGTGGCCGGTTTTCACCTTTTAATGATAAATATGTGGCTTGCCAAGTATTCTTATTCCAGTCGATTAAAACACAGTGATACATTCCTTCATCCTCTTGAGTGGTTTTTAGGATGGTTAGGGCGCTGATTGTACTGTTAATCATCACATTTAATCTTGATGCAGAAAATTCTGGTCCATACGTAGAATGTGCAAGGTTCTGAAGCATCACAATTAAGATCAGAGTATCTCCAGCATTCTGCTTGTACTAGTATAACTGGCTTGTGCTGTCTTTCTCTTCAGGTTAATCACATGTAAAGGTTGCAGGTTCACCAAGTTGAACTGTGACCACTGGAACTAATGCATCTGGATCAGATGAACATTATAAAATGTTAAACAGTGAATATCATCAGAAATGAAAATGTACAATTTCTATAGAATAAGCTTACATCCTTGATGGAGGAGCAGCAGTGTTACCCAGAGGAGGATCATCTTTGTTCTGTCTTGATTATATTTTAGTACCAGAAGAAGGAGTGGTATTCCAGAGCGTCTGGTGTCTGATTGGTTATTTCAAAACTTACAATCAAACTGCATTTCCTGCTTCTGTTTTTTTTTTCTCTAACTTGACCTGTTCTGACAGTTGAAACAGTGAATTGTTAGTCTGGGTGTCATACCATACTATACCAGAGAAGTTGACTTTGTTGTCATTGTGACATGATAGAATGCATCCGCTTAGGCAACAGAGTAGACAATGCAGAGAAATAAAGAGACTGAAGAAAAAAAAACAGGAAGAAAAAACAGGAGCAGAGAAAGACTTTAAGCAGTCAGCATTTTAACATGATGGTATATTTCTGAAACAGAGCGTGTATACGACATTGCAGGGCGACCATTTCCGGTGTGCAAGGAAAACCTGTGAGATCTATGAGCTCCAAAGTCGAGGGTTAACTGTGACATTGCTGTGGAATGCAAGTGTTTATAATCCATAAAAAATTCCACCAAACTGTGTTATTTGTGAGCCTGATGCCACTTCGCTATTTCTTGTGTTTCATCAAGTATACTACTTAAGTGCATTTTCTGTTTATTACATTTACTTAGTTCAATCAGCAATGCATAAGAATTGTACAATGAAATTATCACAAAACAGTCTAATGTCTGAATCGTGTTGGAAGGAAAGTTAAGTTCGAAACAGATTTCCTTCTCATTTGGCTAGGGGTTGTCAGTTTTTCTCCTTTCAAAATAGTCAAAGAAGGACATAGTCACGGTGAGCTTGAGGTGGTTGCCGGCAGCACCGGCATTTATAATTCAGCACCTGCAGGCAAAAAGCATCAGAGTTGTTTTCTTATACCCCTAAGGAGCCACAGCATCCTTTTGTTTTACTCTAATATCTGGTAAAGAAGGCTAGAAAATAACGTTGATCTAACAATGCTAACTGTGAATGAGAAGCAAATAGTCGACTCTAAAAATAGCTTGCAAGCTACTTTTCAATAATCAACAACTCAATGAATAATGAGTCAAGCGTGGTGTTTAACTTCATTTATTATTAATATTAATATTAATAATAATAATAATAATAATAATAATAATAATAATAATAATAATAACAAAATTATCAAGAACCTCATCAGCCTAGCCAACAGAGCAATACAAAACATCAAACAAGACTACTCTAAACCAATGGACCTCACATCAATTAATGAAATATGTTATGCAGCAGCTACAGTAATCACAGATCTGAGTTGTGCCAAGAAAATAAAAAAACAAGGAAAAAGAAAACAGCCCAAATGGAAGACAGACATTGAGAAGGACATTCTCAAGAACAGAAAAAATCTCTCTCTACTCAGAAATGGAAAAAGGTAACATTACTAATAAAAGAAAAAAGAGGCAAATGAAGAAGAGGTATGACATCCAGGACACAACTGACATTGTGGAAGCAAAAGAAAAGCTCAAACAACAGATACAGGCAAAGGCACAAAGAATCAGAAGATATGAAAAGAGAAGTAAGCACTTCAGACACAACCATGTTTTTAAAGTTGACCCAAAGAAGTTCTACAGAGAACTTGACAAGAAACAGATAGAAATCAAAGAACTACCATCTCTGGAAAAAGTAGAAGAGTTCTGGAGCAATGTTTGGGAAAAACAGAAAAACCACAATGAGACAGCACAATGGATCAAAGAAGAAGCAGGAAGATTGAAGAGCCGACCAGTACAGGAGTGGACAAACATCAGCAAGACAGAAGTAATACTGGCACTAAAGAAAGCAAATAATTGGAAGTCACCTGGAGAAGACAAAGTACATAACTTCTGGCTTAAACATCTTGAAGTCATACATGAAGATCTTGCAAGAGAATACACAGAAATTATTAAAACACCAATAAAGAGCCCAACCTGGCTAACACAGGGTCTAACATATCTGCTACCCAAGACCAATGACACAAAAAACCCTAAGAATTACAGACCAATCACATGCTTACCAACGATGTACAAGATTCTCACAAGTATTATCACAGAGAGAACATACACCTTCCTCGACAACAACAACATGCTACCACCAGAACAAAAAGGCTGTAAGAGAGGTAGTTATGGAAGCAAAGACCAACTCCTGATCAACAAGATGATACTGGAAGACAGCAAGGGGAAGAAGAAAAACCTGAGTACAGCATGGATAGACTACAAGAAAGCCTTCGACAGCGTACCACACTCATGGATCATCAAAGTAATGGAACTTCATAGAATCTCACCAACTCTCATTACCTTCATGAAGACAAGTATGGAATCATGGAGGACCACTATGATGCTCACTTATGACGAAAGATCCATCAAGACAAGACCAATAAAAGTGAGGTGTGGTATCTTTCAAGGAGACTCACTATCACCTCTCCTTTTCTGTCTATGTCTAGCCCCACTCAGCACCATGCTAAACAACAGTGAACATGGCTATGAGGTTCAAGGCAAGAAGATCAACCACCTTTTTTACATGGATGATCTGAAGACCTATGCCAAAAATGATAACCAACAAGAGGGACTACTGCAAATAGTCAAGCTCTTCAGTGATGACATCTGCATGCAATTT